CCTGCTGCTTTGACCGGAGTTGCCTTGACTGCTGAACGTCTGTCGTTTCGAAGGGTTAGGCTTGCTTTCTCCTCCTCCTCCTCCTCCTCCTCCTCCTCCTCCTACAGGAGCGGAAGTACGGCCAGTACCGCTGAACGATCTTCCCCGAGAGTCTACCAGGCGGCTGTCGTAGAACCCGCCAGAGGGGGACGACGGACGGGATCCACCTGCACCGAACTGCTTTTGCCGGATGTTTCGCGACACCCCCCCTGTTACCGCCGTTGAGGAAGAAGATGCACCGACTCCGGCCCCCCTGGGGCTAGAAGAAGACGACCTCGCACTACTGGTATTGCTGGCAGCCCCTACCACACCGCCACCAGCACCGCTGCTACTCTTGTTCTTGCCATTACTACTGCCGCTTGCACTACGTGTACTGCTGCTACTGCTACTACTACTACTACTACTACTACTACTACTACTACTACTACTACTACTACTACTACTACTACTACTACTACTACCGCCTACAGCCCTAGAAGGAGAGTGGTGGGAAGGATCCGGCGGCGGGCCACCGGGGCGATGGTCGGAGCCAAGGCTCCGGGTGGAGGGCGATCGCGGCTGCTGCGGCTGGGGCTTCTCCACACGGGGGGTCGAGAGCACCACGCGGTGGTACGTCTGGACAGGAGCTGCGGGCGCGAGCGGTGCAACGCAGAGGGCAAAACAACGTACCCATGGGGGTCACGGTTGGGTTGTTGTTATACTTTGAGTTCGGCTTTGTCGATCAGCTGGGGACACGGTGCACGATTTCTCGCAAACATGCTGTTGGTGTGTTAGCCACGTGAACCAATCGACGGACTGAACGGCAACGCGCCCGTCATCGACCACCTGGCACAACAACTCATCGCCGAAAACCATCCCATCACACAGCAGCATCTAAAAGCACAGCACGTACAGCATCCACGGATCACAGCGGTCATCTTCGATTTTGCTCACCGCCGTCCACAAGCTTGACCAGAATATGCAGAGGCTCTCTCCCTGTGTCTACCAATGCAGGGTGAACGGCGGGCGGAGGCGGCGGCGGTGCCGGCCTGGACGCAAGCAGCGCCCTCGACGACGATGACGACGACGGGGGTTTGGAGGTCGGGCGGGAGTTGGCGCTCGGCCTGGCGGAGACGGTCGTTTTGGGCGGCTTCGGAGAAGGGGCAAGCTTTGGCGGCTTCGGCTTGGGCGAGGGGAGGAGCTTCGCAGACGGCTTGGACGCGGAGGAGACCTTCGGGGACGGCTTGCTCGATGACGATTGCCTAGAAGAAGACTGCTTGGAAGAGGGGCTACTGCTGTCGGCGTACTTGGACGGCTCTTGTTGAGGCTGCTGAGGGAGGCGGGAAAGGACGCTCGGGTTACTTGGGAGACAGAGCGAGTCCAATGCTCGGCACTGCTCTGATTCGAGACACAGAAATAAAGTGGATGTGGAAACCTACCGGTCATGTGTGGCGCTGCGTGGGACACACACAATCGGGAAAAGGAAGTGGCAGTCTTCGCAACAAACGCCGAGAAAGGAGAAGGCCTTGTACGATGCCGCACTAGGTGCGCACGCCTATCCTTTGCCATGATCAGCGGCGTTGTCACTCCAACAAATCCCGGCGGCCGAGCAAGCACACCTCAGGATGACCACTTCCCAATCTTTTGTGCGACACCAGTAGGGCCAGTTAGAAGTGTTGCTGTGCTCTTGTCATAGGCAGGCTGGCAGGCAACGGCCAGCGCCTTCACCACCACAAAACACGCATAGCACATGGTCAAACTATAATAGAAGTCGAAGCAGTTTACGCTGAACGGCCAACGATGGTGCCTAGGGTTCCAAGGCATCAAACACGCAACACGCTTATCCCTGCCGCCGGAGAGGCAGCGCTCTTACCGATGATCGAGCGGATCTCGATGCCCTCCCTCGCGAAGAACCGAGGGCGCACTTGTCGAGATGAGGCGCGTAGCGGGCGGCGCCAACGGCTCGGTTACAGCTGGGGCACGTGATACTTGTGGAAGGCTCTCTTGGCGGGATGCGGCCGTAGACGTCCCCGCCTGCGACTGACTTGGGCGGTGGGTTGTTGGACTCCGCCCAAAGCCGCTCCTTGGTTAATACCCCGGTGTGCAGCTCTCGGTGCAACTGCGAGGATGGAAAGGGTCACGGGGGGAAGACAGAGAGACATATAGACAAGGTGCGTGAGGTTGTATATATTTCAATTTGCCTCGACCGCGCTGTACCGGCTGAACAACGAGAGCATGTCGGTATCACTATCACGCGCGGAAAACAAAAGCGGTTTGCGTTAGCGTCGACGAGTCGTTGCATCCTGGAGCAGTTGGACCCAGTTGTACATGGGGTGCGGCGCAGGAGCTCTTTGTCTCTGCAAGAAAAAGAAGAGGCTAGCTACCGCAGTCAGGCCAGCAATAACATCGCAGAAAGTGGCAGGGCGACAGGGGCATTTACGGTACCATGTCATGCCTGTTGCCACGACGTGTGCCATACGAAGAAACGCCACCAACGTGCCCATAATGTCTCATAATGTCACCTCAACACTTGCCGGAACAGGCCTTCTTCCCAGTTACCTTCAGATAATGCGATTTTCGCTTTCTTTCGACAAAAGTGAAGGTGCGCGAACAGGCCCAATGGCGCTCGATAGGAAAGTTATCCAGTCGACCTAACACTTGGCCTGGACTAACAGCGTGGCCTTTCACAGGACGGAATAAACTGCGGCAAAAGACAAACCTTGCTTTAATGTATTCCCAAGCTCTAGCTTGGATCTCTCCAGACCAAACGTCTTTTTCGCCGGTGTCCCTTTCATTGGCACAGCCCACCCCTTGCCCGACCAGGCCTCAAAAGCCGATTTCAGCCCACACTGCGAACCTCCGAGAACTACCAGCAGTTGTGTGTAGCTGAGACGATTGCAAGACTTTTCGCTGTTGTTTGAGCAGCTATCGCTTGCTGTGGCGTCAGAACCGGTTT